CATATTGATATAAGTTAGAGTGTAATATCTAAGACACAACAAACCATGTCTGTTTGCTCAGAATGATGTATTCAGCACTTATAGATCTTTTGTCTACTTGCTGGATAAAATTTGTTGAACGAAGAGAGGACAGAAGGAAGAAAAGAAGGAAGGAAGGAATTGATAATTTATGACTCATAGACTGGGTTCATCAAATTATGGAAAAGGTCAAAAAGGAGAAGATGGATAATTTGTTTCCCCTCCAAAGAACAGTCTCAACATCATGTTTGTAGGCAAGAAACAGGAAGGAATGCCAAGCACTTTATCTACATTTACCTGTTTTAAGAGACATATTTATTGTCCCATTTTAAAAATTACATCAATTCACATCAGAAAGCAGAGACAGGTAGTGCAGGGTGGATCAAATATGCCTATTTTACTATTTGCCTACATACCTCTAAAATGAACATTTCTTAAAATTTTTCAAACATAAATTCAACAAGGTGAGACAAACCAATATGTTTCTAGCAAATTGTGTTATACATAGACATTAGACATGAGTGTATGCATTGTCTACAAACTACTGTACTGTGAATTCTTTGAATTCTTGGTAATTTGTTTCAAATTCATGTATGCTTACTTAGAAGCTAATAGTGGCTTGACAAATATTTTTAACGCATTTAGTGAAAATTTACTTCTATACAAGTTACACATAACTGATTCATATCAAAGGGAAAGATTTCTAAATACTGCTTAGAATGGGTAGCCAAAAATTGTCCTGTGATTCATTAGGAATTTTTCGCAAGGCCAATCTTACATAAAATGACATAAAATCTTTGACTTTTCCAAGTTGTACATGTTAGAATTTAACTCTAAAAACTCTCCAATTCATGATGTATATTATTTGTTATTTTGCTGAGGTACGTATTTGGACCTTTCATGATAAGAAGGTGGAAAGGGGAATTTGTCCTAATCTAGTGCATGAGCCATACTGACCTCCAACATACTTTCTCCACTCATTGTTTGTATATGCAATGTTTCCCATTGACTGAGATTTAATATATTACTTATCATTTTTCTTCATTTACTGATTTTGGAGGCCAATGCCATATGTTACTGAGAATTTAAATATTTTGATATATTAGGAATTATTTCCAAAATATATATGTATGTATGTATATTATGTGTGTATATGTATATTTGAGCATATATTTTACTATATTTGGGGTTTTATAAAAGGCTGTCTTACGTTGAAAGAAAATAAAACTAAACTGGATTGTGAATAGTAAAAATCTATTAAATTTAAATAACTTTATTACACCTAAATAACATTACTATAACACATTTAAAAACTCCAGTGAATGATTTACCTACTAATTATTTTAAGTTAAAAGCTTATATCCACTTTAATATCTATTCTAAGGACTGAGCACATTTATTTATGTACTTGTACATAATTATGCCAATGTACTTGGGCAATACAACTATAAAATATACCACAAAGAAGAAAATACGATATGAACTATAATATTTATTATAGAGCAGAAACAGGAAAATACAAGTGTATACTATAATACCCACATACTAAATCTTGTTTAGAATATGCATATTTTTAGAAAAGACAATGCATGGTAAGACCAACTAAGACAAAAGTGAAAAGGTTTTGGCTTGGTTTTATGTTTTTCCTTTTTTCTATGAAAGGAACAGGTAATGTCATTTTGCTCCTACACTATTTAATATTATTTAAACACTAGTTCTAGAGTTCTAGGCTTTGTAACAAACTGAGCTTCACTGTACTATAGCTTTCAGCATGTCCTTGATTGGTGATCTAGGCTCAAAGTGCACAGATAACTTCATGCTAATGGGGAGGGAAATTATACTTACCCTGAAGACTATTATATTAAATAAGGTGATGAATGTGAAATACAAGACATATAGTAATAGTAACAGTTTACCATATTTTAGTTCCCTTCTAACACACGCCTCTTACTCACTATTTGACATTTTTACTCTATTAAATATTTCCATCATGTGACACAATTGGCAATTTCATGAAACCGATAATTTACTTCTATGAATTTTATGAATCCAGCAAAGTCTGTCTTATGAATTTACATAAAAGGTCAAAAATATTTTCCTTATCAAAATGATTTTCTCAATTTTGCTGTGGAGATTTGTAGCAGGAGCCCATCCTGGGATATCTTAATCAACCATCTGCACCCATGAATTTCACACTCGTGATAACTGCCACATTTCCAAAGTCTGGCAGCTAGAATTCACACTTATTTTGAAACCCTTCCACCAATCTCCCTAACTCTTAGAGTTAAGATTTCCATCTGACATTGATTTTCGGTTTTCATCCCTACAAGGGAAAAGTCTTATCTCAAAAATTCATACACTGAACACTAGACCATTTTGTAAAAATTCTTTAGCTCAAGCATCAGAAACAGTGACAGGGAACAGCTACTCATACTGAGATGCAGTCTTGTGTGAATTCCAATAACTATGAGATGTTTTACTACAGACTGCAGAATATAGACACTGAAAGCTCAGTTTGCATTCTATCCTTTTCCATGTGAAAAAGGAATGAAATGTAATAGAAGGGAAATGACAATAAAATTTATGGATCAAAGATGCTTAGTAAAGGTGATATGCATTTATGGCATGAAAACAATGTGCACTTTTTAAATTTTGTGCTTCTATTTTAATCATTATGGTACTCTGTGTATCCAATCACAGAGGTATGCTGGGAAGAGAAAATTTAAAGATGGAAGTTTAAATTTAATACCTTATTTGAAACCTAATTTGAGAAAAAATTGCAAGTATGAATCATTTTCTTTAACACTGGTTTGGGAAATGTTAATGCTTTTAATGTTTTAAGGTTGAGTCACAGATTACTCAGGATCAGAAATCCTAGGAGTGAATTTTAGTGATATCACTGGCTTGCTCTGTGACAGTGGGCAAGCTATGCCATCTCTATTATCTTTACATTATATGTAATATATATATGCTTCAGTAATATGAATATATAAACTCTGTGGTCCCTGCCAGTCAAATAGCCTGTGAGATTTTTTGTTTGTTTGTTTTAACTTAGTCAATATCACAGAGTAGTTATCTTTGCAGTTTCTGAAGCCATGTGGGTGTGGCTATATTCAACCCCACTAATTACTGTCTATGTGAATTTGAGCAAATTACATAATGTCTCTGTGTCTCTGTCTCCCCCTATCTGTAGAATGAGAATAATAATCATACCTATCTAACGGTGTTGTTGTCAGTATTAAATAAGCCATATTTCAATAATTCTAACATGAAAAAGTCTATTTTATTTACCATATTTTAAAACTCAGTGCATATTAAAAAAAAATTTAATACACATTTATCAGAGTTCAATTGATAGCATGTTTTTCCCTAGTGGTACATAAAATTATAGCATATTATATACTCAGTGATATCTTAGACTAGAAGAATTATTATAATACATATGAAATGCTTAAAATAGTGCCTGGCACAAAAATTTCTCAATAGCTGATGTTAACATTTCTCTATAATTAAGCAATAATTGTTATATCTAAGTTTAAGAGTGATAGGTTAAGAATAACTTAATAATGGTTAAAAGCTTGCTAGTCACATCAATTTTGGTTTTATTTTGTATCTAATGTCATAATACAAATTTAATAACTTCATCCAGATTTATTAACATTAATTAATGCAGAATATGACTGCTATTTGAACAACAGTGTAGTTTTATACAGTTAAATATTTTTCTATGTTAGAAAAAACATCTTCTTTTTGCTTTAATAAGGTGATTAAAGGGGAGAAATATAAATTACACACAAAAAATCATTTCTTAATCAAATTAGGAAAACACATACATTTACCAGGTTTGGTACATTATTAAATATAAAGAAAAAATAATATATTAGAGATGCCAACTTTGTATATTATAATCATCTTTCATTGTTAATTCTCAAGAATGGTTAACTATAGATTAATACATTTTAAGAAGTCAATTACTAAACCTACTCACTTTGTTATTAGTCTACAGGTATTAAGCTTTTATACAGAAATCCTATTTCTTAGAATGCTTTAAAGAACTCTAAAGTTGACATCACTTCTCTCTTCTATTCAAGTTTTATTTTATAAAAAAATCTCTCTGAATTAAAAAAATGGATACTTAAGAAATTAGATGTTTTATAATCAAAATCAATTTAAAATGACCAAGGGAAAAATGTAAATGATAGGAGAATATACAAATAAAGTGATTGAAATAGTCCCTAGCACAGAGTACAGGCTACAAAATATAAATTCTCAATTTCATCATCATTATTTGGTTTCATAGATCACCAGAGACGGGGGCCTTATAGGTGACCTGGTTCAAGACCATGCAGATTGCAATAGGCCTGGAGCATGACGGGGTTAAGTAAGAATTTGTGCCATAAAAAGTTTCTAAAAATTTGTCTACTTTTCTTTGTTTATAAATATAGCATACTAGATTTACTTTCACTGTTCTTTGACAATTGGACTAATAATGTAAATCCAGAGTTCTGATGTTGATTTACATTATTAGTCCAATTGCTTGTTACTTTCTTTTTTTTTAAATTTTTTATTTTTTCATATTATGAGGGTACAAATATTGTTAGGGTTACATATATTGCCTTTGCCATTCCTCCCATGCTCCCTCCCCCCCACCTTACCAAAACATCAAGCATGTCCTACTCTCAGGTGGTGCACATCGCACCTATTTTGTAAGTGTAAAAATAGGTAAAAATCAATACTTTTCATCCAATTTTATAAACATTATATTTAATAGTTGGACCATTATCCAAGAGGGAAAAAATAGTTAGATTTCTGTTCTAAAATTATTTACTTAAAGTTATAATTAAAAGCACTAGTCTAAAAATGTGACCATAGAGGACATCAGCAAAGAAAATATTTATGCTAGTTATCATAGAGTATTTAAAATCATTAGGAAAATGAAAATTGCTCAGTACTAACATGGTCTCTACAGAGATATGGCATACCTCGTAATGGCTTTCTTCATTCTCCTGCATGTGGAAACCCGCAGAGCTGGGACATTTCTGAGGAGTGACAGGAATAGTGTCACTTTTGCTGTGTGAGTTACACTGAAAGAGATTACCAAATAATTGTGACAAACTACTCCATATTTAGAGTGCCCACTGAGAGACATGGCTGTTTACTACGAGCCTAATAAAGGAACACCATTTGAGCTAACAAGGGTCTACACTCAGAGATACATGCATTAATATTGAGTCTTTACCAAAAAGATAGAAAATGTCCTTCAAATGAACAAACTGTCCAAATGTTTTTAGTAAAACTAAAGAAATAAAAGATTTAGCTATTTTACTTTTCCTTTGCTTTTTAAAATCAATATTTACTTATTACATTTATAATTTTAGTAGTTAAAACTTATGTGGTGCTACTACTATTTGTGTGAGGTATTATTTAAGTGTCTGACATATATTATACATGTATTAACCCATGACAAGATATTATTATTTCCACTAATGGATGAGGAGACTGAGGCATAATTTTTTTACACAAAGGTGTGCTGCTACCCAGTTTTCTGGGACCATTTCCCATATCTTTATCTACCCATGAACTGCTCTTATAAATGATACACTTGAAATAGATAAAACTGAAAAACTAAAAGTTTAGTGTCTTAAAATATTAGTTCCCTTTTTCTGGTATTAAACAGAAAGCATTTTTAAAACAGGTGAACTAAAATAATTCACTTGGAATTATTATAATTCACATACATGTGAATTATAGAACATAAGATATTAAATTATAGCTTGTATTTCTCTGCAAAAATATTAAAATGACTGTTTTCCATATTCCTCACAAGAGTTCTGTTGTGAAAATGACATTCATCACTTCCTGTTTCCCTGCATCTTTCTTTCCTAAATCTCTTATTAGATTCAAGGCAAAAAATGTTTATAAGTTTTGCTGTTTGGCCATTTATTAAGCATAACTTTGCATAGTTTTTAAGGTTTCAATTTTAATAAAAGTATACCATGGCACCTCCAGAAAAGGTTCATCATTGATATAAACCCATTCCTCTTCCACAAAACTACAACATATGCATATATGTTTATGACATTAGGAGGGAAGGTACCATTTTTTCAAACTAGTATGTCAAGTTTTCTGTTTATTAATAAAATGTTATGTTCACCATTTCAAAGAAAAATCTGTTAGGAAATTGCTGTCAAGGAAATTTTTAAAAGTAAATGAGTTTTAGAGTTTTAATATATTGAGTTCACTATATTTTCATTCCAAGACCACCATTTTATATATTTGAATATACTTTGAAGTACTGGCATTATATTTGAAGATATCAATTAATTTATCTCATTTATTTTGGTTTGTTTAAGATAAATAACTATATGACAACTAGGAAGGCAAGGCTCTTAAACTCAATGCCTATGTTATAAAACTTTCAGCATGGAAAAATTCTATTATGCCTGTGCTCTCTATCAACAATTTAATTTCAACCCTATTCAAAACTTTCTGCCTCTGGGAAGTCTTCATGAGTAATTTAACAAATGGTGATTGCCATTTTAACCTCTGCTTGCAACCTAAGTAACTTTTATGTGTACTTTGTCAAATGCTGCTTTGCCAATATTAATGATTTGAATGTTCCTAAGTTTCTCTGAACAAATTCATTGTTTATTATGAAGGCCTTTCTCTCCACAGCTGCTTTCTTGGCTTTCTAAAAAAAAAAAAAAAAAAGTAGACTTTAAAACAGTTATTTTCATCTGTGATGTCCGTAGACACTTTAATCATTCAATTCCTGTCTCTAGCCTCTCCTCATATCTATTCATGCTGATTAATCTTTTTAAAAGATCTCATGTATTATGCAGTTTTTCTCCTGAGAAACATTTCCTGTATTTCTGTGGCCCAGCAGTGCATCTCACCCTGGCTCTATATTAAAATCACCTGGGGAGCTTTTTAAAAATGTCGGTGATGGAGCCCCACCTCATACCAGTTAAATTAGAGCTCAGACATATATACGTTTAAATACCCAGGGAATTCTAATGTGTAGCAAGAGTTTAGAATCCCAGGATTCAGGTTAAAGTTCTTTGTGTGACCCCCATGACAGGATAATAAATTTTGGACTCATTCCTCCTTCAGTCTGATATCTTCCTCCATAGCATTTGTTCTCCCTTTTTTAATTGAACCCACCACATATTGGGTTATACTTTTTAATGGATGTATCATAACACCTCCAAACCTGAAAAAAATCCTCTATCTATATAATGCTTTGTAGCTTCACATACAAGAATTTATGTTTTATCTATAAAAAAAAAAACTCTGCAGACGGGTAGAAAATATAATCCTTTCACAGATAGGAAAGACAGAGGTTCAGATGTATTCAGTGCCATTTGTGTAAGGATTTGCCCTGTAAAACACTCCCAGTAATAACTCTACAAGTTTTGGGCTATTTCTACTCTACCATATCTCCCTAAGTGGATTCAACTATTTGCTTATTTATTCACTCACACTATTAAGTTTGTTAGTTTATAATCAGACACTTACTGAGTGCATGCTATGTGTCAGAATTTTACTGGCTCATCAAGATATGGCATTTAATAACTGTAATACTCTCACTCTAGCAGTGAAAACATATACGAAAATAAATAACCACTATCATATGTGAAAATGCCACATGAAAACGTGTGCAGATTGTTAAGGGACAGAGAAAAGAATGACTACACTCCAGGGTTTGATACAGGGGGAGAGTATCAAGAAATAGATTGATGGGGAAATGATAGTTAGCAGGCATTCAAGACTTAAGGAACCACATATGAGAATGCTAAAAGACATTAATTCTCAAGAGCCATGAGTAGTTTGATGATTGTTCAAACATGGAGCATGTGAAGATTGATTTGAGAATAGATAGAAGTTATTAGTGCATTAAATTCAGCAGTAGAACCAGTGATGAGAAGTGAAAGAACTGGACTTAATATAAGGGATGACTACCCAGTGGATAGGTGCTTTATAAACAGCGGCAGTGCCAAGGGTGAGCTTAATCAATAATCCTTTCGCTCCCAAGTTCCCCAAGAAAATATGCAACATAAGCAAAATGAATACATATAAAATATGACCATGACACCCTGGTAAGTCCTTCCATTCCAGTAAGACTTCACCCCTAAGCCTCTCGTGTGTTAATCCTGGAGAATCCTCTGTTTACAGAACAGTAAATGTCATCACAGGCAAATTTGAATCCACTGTTATTTCTTCACTTTCAAAAATTGCATGTTATGATGTAAATTTCCCCTGGGGATTATAAATCTATGAATTAGAGCAAAAACAAAAAGAAAGAAAGACACTATAAATAATATTTTGAGATCAAATATTATAAATAGCCAAATATTTAAGAAAAAAATTCTTAAGGAAAAAGAATGTAATCACTGTGAATCCTTCTGAACAAGTTTCTAATTTGAGGAAAGTTGCAGCCTAAAACAAAAGGATTCATTTTAAAGACTAAAGATATCTCTCACCAAAGAATTTTACTGGTGGCCAAATTTAACATGAATGACTATATAACAAATTATTGTTAAGATGGATTTGCTAAATCAGATTTAATATTGCAGGGTACATATATAAATCAAACTTGAGAGGTCTAGAGCTCAATAACAATAGATTAAATGTAAATCACCGTAAATATATTTGTTTTATACTTTAAAACCCATTTGATGTTTTTTTCCTCCCCAACACGCCCATTGTAGTTCTTGGGAAAATTGTCATTTCTACCTATAGAAATACGTACTCAAACCTGCCACATAATCAGGTATTGTTAGCTCTTTCATTTTTGACACAAATTCCTAAGAAAGTACTTCATAACCATGGTCTCAATAGAAAGAAAAAATCAACAGTAGCAAGTACAACAAAAGTTTTATGAAAGATCACATAATCATAAATAAGACATGGCTGTTTTCTTTGCTGAAAAGGGAGTACTTTACATTTCCCACCCAACTGCAATGCAGCAGCTATGTGCACTATTATTCCATTACTCCTCCTACCTTCTTACAAAATCAAGATTGTTTGCTAAAAATCAAAGGCATTTTTACAAAATTTTTGCAATTATTTATAAAGGCCTTGTATTTTTATGTTATAGGTTTCATTAAATAACAATTCCATTTGTTAAAAAACTCCCACTGAAAATGTTATTCCTACCCATTTTAATAAACTAAGGATTCCTTTCACAAAGAATACTAAAACATTCTTAAAACTTTTGGTATAAAAATTCTAAAAGTAAATTTAAAAACTCAAATTTATAGAAAAATTCCACTTTAAAGAATTGCCAATACTTGATGTCTTAAACTTCTTTCCATTCATTTCTTTGGAGATATAGGTTTCCTTACCCCCATTCCTCTGAAATTGCTTTACTATAATTACCAAAGATGTCCACATTAGTCATTCAAAGGGCATTCTCAGTCCTCATCTAACTTACAAGGACTGATCACTCCCTCTTTTTGTTACTTTTATGTCACTAGCCTTCCAGGACACCAGGCACTCATGGCTTGCTTTCTTCTCATGCCCTCTTTCTAGAATCATTTCACTGTTAATATTATTGGTGGTGTTAAAATGGAAAGGATAGGGAGGATCCTAGAGAGGATAAGGCCTGAGTACTTTCTCAGAAAGTATAAATATTTTCTCCAGTGCAGTTGATCAGTTTGACAATTACACCCATAGTTCTTAACTCCAAAATACATTCTCAGACAGATATATGAACAATTTTCTACTTGTAAGCAGACAAGGAAAGGACTCTTAGGAATGTTTGAGGACATTCTCAAACATGCTTCTATCAAAGCACATATTTTTATAAGTATTTCTAGAAACTGATAACATTTATATTTTATGTGACCCATGATATAGATTCTCATTATTTCTGAAAATTTGTTCTAATCACTTAATGTCCTGAAATTTATTCCATCTCAATTCAGGAAACCTTGAGCGTATATCCATAGCCTTCTCTCTAGTATTTTCTATGCATTTTTCTTTTATGGCTTATTTTTCTGTCATCTTTAATCATGACTAGAAAACAAAGCTAAAATGTTCATTGAACTTCATAGAATGTGTAGGTATTCAATTTGGGTGG